CTGAGTTGGATTTCCATTTGCATTGAGTGATCATCTATCTCTGTAAATTTTGATAATATTGTAATTAATGTCTTTGCAAAAGAAGTTGACAATCAATTTGACTCAAATTCTGCAGGTTTACCGAGATTCCGAATCTACGCCTATGGTTTGTTGTGATGTCTGCCAGCACTGGGTGCACTGCCAGTGTGATGACATCAGGTTTACCTTTGCCCTTGTTTACAAATATTAAAAAATATATTATTTCACCCTACCGAGCAGGTAGTTCAAGGTTGGATTTCAAAGTAATTGCAGTCTTGTTCTTTGACATTTTTGATTGGGTACATACATTTATGATTTGGAGTTCAATTTGTCAGTATTGTGTTTAATAAGGGATGATGCAGAGCTTGCCAATAGAAAAGAGATATTGGGAACCTCATGTACAGCTCAAGTTGGACCTTTACTGAGTTTTGGTTTACCCTAAAAGTTTTTTTTTCCATGTTAGTTATACCTTTAAATGTTAGTGGCATAATTTTATATACGTGTTGAAGGATTTCTAGATGCTGTGGACATATGCTGCAGCTACACAGCATGTTATTGTGGACCAGCTTATTTTATTGGATCTTTGTTCGTAGTTCTGCATGTCTAGATTAGTTTCTATGGTCAAAATTTTTCTGTTTCAGTCGTGGTTCTTGTAGAAGCTACAGAAACTTCCAGTTTTTAGAAGAATTTTGTGTCTCTGTTCTTCTTATCAACTACTGTTCATTGTTTATTGTCCGTGGCCATCAAGTTTAACAGTTCATATTTTGTCTACACTCCTTTTGAACCACCTTTTTGTAGTCTGTAAAGCACTGCAAGCCACTAAATGCTTACCTGAGGTGTTTTCCTCTTTTTTTCCATATTAGATATCTCATATGACCATTTTCACAAACCTCGACATCAAGTAACTGTTTGCACTTCCTTTTAGTTATAAAATTGTTTATACCTGGTGGATATATTTTTGCAGTGACGGAAAATATTTGCAGTTTCAAGTAGATGGAAACCTGCAATACAAATGTGCCACATGCCGTGGGGAATGTAATCAGGTGCATGAAACATGATAGTTTTTGTGGGGTTGAATTCTTAGCAACTGTTCCTAATATTAGACCGTTACTTTCACTCCAAATTGGCAGGTGAGGGATCTTGAGGATGCCGTTCAGGAGCTTTGGAGGAGGAGGGACACAGCTGACCAGGATTGGATTGCAAGCTTGAGGGCGGCTGCTGGATTGCCAACTCAAGAAGAAATATTTTCAATTTCCCCGTTTTCGGATGACGAAGACGACAGTTCCACTTTATTGAAGAGTGATTATGGTCGTTCTTTGAAGTTATCTCTTAAAGGGTTTGTTGATAAATCACCAAAAAAGAACAAGGAATATGGGAAAAAATCTTCAAAGAAGGATGGTAAGAAAATGGTGTATCAGGCGTCTTTAAACAGTAAAACAGCAGTACACCAGAGTTTTGAAGGACACGATGATACCCCATCGTTTGGATATAGCTTAGGTGGTAACAAGAACCATGAAATCTTGCCCCATAGAAATGGAGATCCTGATATTTTTTCTTCTCCTATTGCTGGAAGTTTGAGTGAGGGGATATGCTCAATCAATCAAACAGGGGTCCTGAAACACAAGTTCATTAATGAGGTCACAGGCAGCAATGGGAATAGGTCATCCAGAATGGTCCAAATTAAGAGAAACAAATCTCATGGCTTAGATATTGGGGAGGACATTGGAGAACGTGCTAGAAAATCCAAGACCACCAAGGGACCAAAGCTAATAATACATATAGGTGCTCAAAGTAAAAATGTAACTCATTCTCCAAGATCTGATTCTTCAAGCTTTCAAAATGAGCAAGAGTTGACAGCTTCAAATGGTATGTTCTACAATTTCTTTCTTAGTTATTGTTCAATTCATGAAATCTGTTTACAAGGGCCTTCTTTTGTCATAGTATTTGAGATGATGCATAATTAGGCATGCTGATTTATGTATGTTTTGTCCTGATTCATTTTGCGCACCTATATGTGGGGAAGCTTTTAACATGATAGAGGATTTGAACATGTGACCTCAGAACTTGCAAATTGCAACTTACATTCCTTTTGTTCTGTCATTCTTTGTCCATGTTGAAGCATGACATAGGAATTTCGCATTTGCCTGACTGCGTTTGTGAAACTGCTTCTATCTATTCCGCGTTGGATGTTTTGTCCTTGCGTACATTCTTTTGTTCTTTTTCGCCAAACTAAAATATTGAATGGAGAACAAGTTTGCAAACGAAGACGTTCCAATTGAAGTCTTGGTTGATATACTGGAAAAATCCCACCAAAAATAACGAACTTGGAAAAAAAAGGTGAAAAAGAATTTGCCAGTGCTAAAGGTGTAGCGGATTTCCTGTGCATTTTATTCTAACTGGAAACAGGAAACTTTTTTTAATACCTTGACAGTTTAGCGGTCCTTATTAGGCCAATTGGTACGGTAGAAAGTTTCTGTGAGTTCTGGATTTTGGAAAGGTCAGGTTTCTTGGCCATGGTAAAGTTACATCTACTAAGGAGTGGGCATGAGTGTGCGAACTCCATTGTCCACTCTTTGAATGTGCTAGGGAAAATAGGTTTTTTGTGGACCGGTTCCCTTGCTTACTTGTCGGACAAAAATTATTAGAATTTAGATCACAGATGGACTGAATGATGATTGTACGGTGGTGCCCCTTGACCTGTAGACTTGATGTGGAGGAGCTTTCCTCCTTGCCTCTATGCAGATTTTTCCCTAGAGGCATTAGAGTTGGGAGCTGACAGCTGACAGCTGCCTTCATTGCCGATTCCTTATAAAAGATATTCAGTTTGTCAAAATAGATGTTAAAGTGGCTTTCTATGGACACCCGAGGCCAGGGTCATCCCCTTGACCCGTACTGTTGAGAATTTTATTCCACGAGAATTGAACAAAAAGCTGATCACAAGAGTCTTTAAGAAGAGGGAAAGACTACTCCTAAATGTGGCCATGATNCAGAGGCCAGGGTCATCCCCTTTACCCGTACTGTTGAGAATTTTATTCCACGAGAATTGAACAAAAAACTGATCACAAGAGTCTTTAAGAAGAGGGAAAGACTACTCCTAAATGTGGCCATGATCTTGTGTATGATACCACTGGACACATCTTGGTACTTCCACTGAATTAGTTGGGACAAACTTTTGCCACTTAGCTCTTGCATTTGCATGATCAAGTCAANATCTTGTGTATGATACCACTGGACACATCTTGGTACTTCCACTGAATTAGTTGGGACAAACTTTTGCCACTTAGCTCTTGCATTTGCATGATCAAGTCAATTTTTTTAATCAGCAGAAGTGGATTTTTTTTTTGTTTCATGCCAGGGTAAAAATGATTTGAATAGCAAAAACAGTGCTTCTCATTCTGTTGAGCACGTGAAATGGTTTGTCAATCTTGGGTTACCTTGATAAATCTTAAGTTTGTAATGAAATTTTGCTAGATACACTGACTATTGCTTCAGCGCCACATAGTTCTCACTTCTCAGTACTTTAAGAATTTCTTGAGCCAATGATTCGTGATCATAATCTTTTTATTTTGAACAGTGCTAATTAGGGTGAAAAACAAGGAATCGTCTTATTTGACCCAAGTTAGGTTGTTATCAAGTTCTGTTTGTTTATTTTGGATTCTACATCCAACCCTCCCAAGATCTCGCAGTGTTGGGACTCGGGAACCTCATGCGCTTGGCCACCTTTTTCTTTAAATGTATAGTTTGACACTTTCTGCATGGATAGTTGTATATATCAATATGTGTTGTGAGCACACACGTACTAAAACTGTTTAAACAAATAGATCCATTGATTCCTCTGCACTTTCTGACTTCAATTTTCCACCATGCGTACTCTTTTCTGTTGTCTGCGTGTGCTTATGTGCTTCATGTACTCAGTAGTTGGCTATGATAGGGTCCAACATAGGGTGAACAACGGGCATGCCACATCGATATGTTTGGTGGTGGATAGGGTTATTGGGTAGCATTATCAATTTCTGGATAAATATTGCCCCTTCACCGCCAATGATGCTATAACATTTTGTCATTTATTAGCAGTAGATATTTTTCTGCATCGTTTATGATTAGTAACATCATTCGTTTTTTGTTACTTGCAGGAGATAAAATGGATTGCACTGACCAAGTTAAAGGTTCGAAGCTCAAAGAAAGAAAGGGCAACTTAATAAAGATCAGAAAAGTTGATTCAGAATTTTCTGACATGAAACCTGAATTTGTAACGGGGAAAGCTGCTGATGGATTTGAATCTGTTTCTTACATGAACACACATGTTTTACCAGGGAAAAGAAGCACCGAGGGAAACACAGCTGCAACTGAGACTGTAAGTGAGGTCCCTGCAAGAGGAGGTGAGAAGATATCTTTGCTGAAGTACACGAAAGGTAGGCCTGATGTATCAGGTTATTTGAATGAAGATACTAGTAGCATACCGTCACTCTCGCATTCTTTGCCAAAGAATCCCAAACCTTTACTAAAGCTTAAATTCAAGAATCCCTCTAGTGAGAACCAAAGTTCCTGCCCTCCTGGGGAGGATGAGAAAGGATTTGCTAAGGAACTAAGGTCAAAAAGAAAGAGACCTGCCTTCACGGAGAAAACATCAGCCAAGGAAGATGAAGATCCGTCAAAATGGTATGAAAACTCAATGAATGATATCATGGATGTTAATTGGATACTGCAAAAACTGGGTAAAGATGCAATTGGAAAGAGAGTAGAAGTTCATCAGTCATCTGACAACTCCTGGTCAGTGTCTCCTGGTTTTCACCATTCTCTGAATTTGGTCCATTTTATTAGTGTGTTGACCCCAGATGCTGTCTGTACATTGAAACTGGCTTCGAAATAGATTGTAATTTGTCCCACCAGACTATCCTCTTCCACTGAAGGCTCTATTAATTTATGCATAACGCTGAAATTTGAATTTCTTCCCTTTCAGGCGCAGGGGAACAGTAACTGATGTCTTTGAAGGCACTTCAATCGTATCTGTCNTTTATGCATAACGCTGAAATTTGAATTTCTTCCCTTTCAGGCGCAGGGGAACAGTAACTGATGTCTTTGAAGGCACTTCAATCGTATCTGTCATTCTAGATGATGGAACGACCAAGAATTTGGAATTTGGGAAGCAGGGAATTCGCTTTGTTTTTCAGAAGTGAAGGCAGTAAAAATCATAAAGCTTAAAGCTATTCAGTAAAGACAATCATATCATTTGAGATGTTCCATTTTTACAGCAGTGGAGCGAACCAATAGTATCATGGTTGATTTCAATCTCTGGATGTTCTGAGGCTGTAAGAAATCAAAGGTTTTCTTGCTTTGCTTGCTCAGAGATTCAGCTTGCTCTTCACCTTAGCATTGTGGCCAATTGGTTTTTGTTAACACATGAGGAGCTAATGATGTCCAATCATGTTTATGCCAATGGCAGGTTTTCCCTATTAACCTCCTTTTGTGTTTTTCTCTGATAATTTAATTTTTTTCTATTATCTCTCTAAATGCCGTGGAATACATGTTTGAGCCTCTTTTTTTTTTTTATTCACCTTTTCTAGAATTAAAAACGACCTTTGTAGGTGACGTGTAATTGGGTGCTGTATATTGGTTGTGCCCGGCAGGAATTAGGACTTTCATTGGGATAGGAAAACTCGTTGGTAGGCTGTTAATGGGTATACTATATTCATATCTCCATTCCATCCCCTACCATCTAAGCATTTTCATTCAGTTTGAAAAACATGTTGAATCTTCACTTTGATGCATAATTGGATCACCCACCCAAGAGGAGATCAGTGAGCATGTTGAACCTTGAATCTTTTCCTCATCTTGGCTACTGATGGGGGGTGTTGTTGAGATGAAATGCTAGGAAAAACTATTCTCTTAATGGCTGACTCACTTTTTACTACTGCCAAAGATGGTGAAGGCTTTAGGGGGAAAGTGAGTTTGAGGTTAGAGAATTTATAGATTATTCTTGTTAAAGCTCAGTTCTCTGAAAATCCCTTCTGATTTTTTGGAGTGGCCAGCAAATACGGGCCGACCAAAAGAAGCAAGACTTAGATTATCAGATCCTGCACACAATCTTCCTAGAGATTGAGAGCCCCTTTCTTCTCCTTGTTTGCTTACCTAGCTTTTCCTCTTTTCTATGTTTTTTTTTTTTCTTGGAGTCTTAAAGCAATAGATTTTTCATTTGCCAATGAATTGGATACGCCTCGATTCGATTAATAATGGGATTCTTGGCTAGAGAAAGGTTTTGTGACATGGATGCCCAAACCCCCTACACCCCTTGTGGTTTAGTCCAAGACAATTATTCCTTACGTCCAAGAGGGGTATGATCCTTCAATTAGAATGTCTCATATCTCGTGAAATGAAGTGTGACATTTCTGGGGAGGAATAGTGCTTTAGGACTAAAGTGCAATAATTGATAGATTAATATTTAACACAACTGAGAAAAGTTTTGTTCAAACATACTTGATATATATATTACTATAAATCAAATGTATAAATATCATGTGGAAAAGTTATTTAGTAAAAAAAAAAATTTTGACTTATAACTTTTATTAGTCAATTTTAATGGTTAATCCAAAATCATTAAAAAAATGGAGAAATATAGGTTTTCAAACAAGAGAAGATAAAAGTGTCTCTCCATTTACAATAATGCTATTTGTCTCTCCTTTTTTTTTAAAAAAACTGGGCTTGTCTCTAATTTAGAGACTAGGATTAAAGTTATTGTGGTTATTAAATAACTAATGAATTTATTCAATGTTGAGAATTCAAGAATTACTATATATTAGGTTTTTAAACTAAATCATTAATGGTATCAAAAAATAATTTTTTTGTATGTATTTTTATTTTTTTATCTAATGAAAAGGTTGTACGTGTAAAGTTGACTTAATTTAGTATGCACAAAAACAAATGCTATTTTCTTTGGGCGGAGCTATTCTCACTCCATAAATCTATATTTCTATCTCATTTAATTTGTCATTATCACACTACTAAGTTCATTCTTTCTATACCTATTTCATTAGTAACTAAGCCTACCCTATGATAAATACACTCTATTAATAGTTAAGTTCACTTATTTTATATATATACCTCTTTAATGAAAAAAGTCATCGTAAGAAAAAAAATAATTAGTTTGAATGCATATTATATTAACGAAACAAGAAAAAAAATTAAACAAAACTGAAACAAGAAAAAAAAACAACAAAAAATGAAACAAGTGAAAAAAAATAAGCATGCCGAAACAAGAAAAAAGAAAAGAACAAAATAAGGAAAAAAAAAATAGAAAGAAACAAACAAACTGAAACAAGGAGAAAAAAAATCCAACAAAGATAAAATGAACAAGTAAAATTATAAGACGCAAAATTGAATATGACAAATAAACAAGCATCAAGTATACATACAAAATCGAACAAGAAAAAAAAATAACAAGTATAGATGCAAAATTTTAACAAGATAAAGTACAAATAATCGAAAAGTATATATATAAACAAACATATAAGTTCTAAATAAAAAATTGGTAAACTTGATAGAGATATCAAAATATACTGAAATTAATGAAAATTCATAACAAACATGAAAACTAACATGAAATCAAACATATAATTAAATTGAGAAGTAATATTAACTTGTATCTCACTAAAAATATTCATATTGAAAAAGTATTTTTGTGAGTGTATAAGATGAGATAGAGAATAAAACCCAATATAAAGTATGTTTACTTATTAAAGGGGGTGTATGTAGCATGAGGGTGAGCTTATTTACTAATGGGGTGCGTATAAAAAGGGTATGTTTAGTAGTTTGATAATAAAAAATTAAATGGGGTGGAAATAGAGATTTGCGGGGTGGGAATAGCCCTAACCATTTTCTTTTGCTATTTACAATTAGTACTACCCAATTTCTGTCTTTCCTCCAAAGCCTCATTGTCATAGCTTGAAAACTCTACTCCAACCCCCCAAAACCACAACAGCAAAAAAAAGATTAAGAAAGACTAACTTGTGATGAAATAAGAACAATAAAGCTCACCAGCTATTTATGGAAATTGGAAAAGGACATTGTTGGGACTTAATTGCAGAGAGAAAGCCAGTTCAAAAAAACATTTACACATAGAAACATTTACAAGGAGGGAAAGAAACAGAAAGCACTTGAAAATGCCTTAGAATTTGAGACATATAGCATTTACTTTTGTTTCACTTTGAAACCATTCTAGTTTTACCACCCACATCGATTTCCTGTGGACAATTCTTGAATTAATTCAAACCACCTGCAAATACAGCAACAAGTTGAAGCAAAACGGAAGGCATAAAACAAATAGTCGTTTCCGACAGGGGAAAAATATATGAATAGCCATCTTCACACTATTCGTGTAGAACCAAGCATAAATACTTTAGCCAAACAAATCGAACTAGCAGCTCATAGAACTTAGCTTTCAAAGAAAAAATGTGGTGGACTCGCAATCATTCGTGGCTGAATTAAGAAAGAAATGTATGAGACAATATGCTATTTATACCTTAGACTATACAGGTGGAGGCGGCAAGTCTAAAAGGAGCCAAAATCCAACACAATCATCAGAATCTAAGTCACCTTGGATGGCAAGAAAATGTAAGCCTCCGCAGGCCTTCTTTGTTGCTTCCCAAGCTTCTGCTTCACTTGTAGTTACAGGTGTTTTCTTATAGGTGGCATAAACGTAGCGTGTAGAAATCCCGACTGACAAAATCAAGCAAGCTCGATCTATGTCAGCTTCCATTGAACACACATCTAGTCCATTCATCCAAGCTGCAGCAGTACAGAATAGGGTCAAAATTGAGCTTATTAGAGATGGAAAATGTATAACATTGTTCAAGGTACACTGGCAAGGAAGTACTGTATTGGTACAGAGATTTTCATAAGAAAGCAAACATTTATAGGCGTTATAGCAATACAGAAAAATAAAAAAAATACAATAAATCTTTGGGAGTGAAAGATGACAAAACCAAGAAGAAGAAGACTGAAGACATGACATATACTATTCAGTACATTAACTATCTTGGTATGCTATTAAGGTAATGGCTGTGATTTGCGAGAGATCTTCAACAAAGCCCCCAAAACAACTGTTGCCTGTGTTGTATTTAATTGCAGTTAAAATTGTGCGCACATTACCAAATAATCTATGTTGAAGATCGTAGCAACAAATGTGTATCATTAGTGATAATTTAATTCCTATGTACTAATAATAATTACCATGGCATCCAAGTATTAATTGTTTCTTATGTTGGCACTCATTTCCATTCGAGTCTCCCACTATTTTTCTTGATTGTCAATGATTGTATAAGGCTCAAAAATGTATAATTTCCGTTTTGGAGTATCATTACTTCAATTTGTCATAAACTTTCAACACCGCACTAAGATGCTTTTTCTAAATAAGTTGAATTGCATTTTTCTGACTTCCATCCCACATCGACAATGTTGTGGGTTATATTTCCTTATTTAAGATTTGTTTGTCCGGCGGAAGAATGTCGGGCCTGGTAGGGCGAGCCTATAACCCAAATGGGGGCATTAAAGGTATTGGATAGATCGTTCGCAGNAATTGCATTTTTCTGACTTCCATCCCACATCGACAATGTTGTGGGTTATATTTCCTTATTTAAGATTTGTTTGTCCGGTGGAAGAACGTCGGGCCTGGTAGGGCGAGCCTATAACCCAAATGGGGGCATTAAAGGTATTGGATAGATCGTTCGCAGAAAAAAAAATAAAAAAACCATAGGAAATAAAATATATAAAATAAATAAAGCAAAATAGCGACGACTTAAACAATTTCATTTTTCACAACGTGTGCATACATGCTTAGCAACAATCACTCAAATCATTTATCCGACCCCAAAAAAAAAAAGGATAGTGTGTGGAGTTCCACCTGATTTTTGAAGGAACTGAGAGGAGGGAGAGTTACTGGTTTCCTAGAGCCTTTGACAATTGACATTTTTTGTACAAAGTGGCTGTCCTCGGCTTTGAACAAATAACCTCAAGGTTATTGAGCCAGATTTTAACCATTGAAGTCTGAACCAGTGGTCCCCTTTAATAATGAGGGCATACCCAATTCGCGAGGCTCCCATTATTGCGAGGTCTAGTGAGGATTAAATGTACGCAGTTCTTACCCCTACAAGCAGAGTGCCTATTTATGTAACTCAAAGTAATGACCTCTAAGTCACAATATAATACCCTTATTGTTACGCCAAGATTGTACCCAGTGGTCCCCTTTAATAATATGATAGGTAAATTAAATTACTCACAACACAAAGTAGTAACCACATAGATCGCAACCAAATTGCAATGGAAAATTGTGTGATAGTTATCAAGAAAGAAAACAGTTGCAATTATTTCTGTTATTTTGCTCCACCCCCTTTTCATTTAAGCCTCCTACTTTTTTTTTCCTTGGATTCTAATGATTAGATAAACCTCCATAATGTTTCATCTAAGTTTCCTAGTAATTTTTGTTTTCAACTTTTGAAATCAATTTTGGCAATTGCAATAAGACACTAGCAGTAAATAAATCGATTCATGATTTTCGGACTTTCATCCCACACTAGCAGCGTTTAGGAAATTACTACTTTCATAAACTTAGTTTGCCTTGTACTTTTATAAAGTCAGTTTGCTTCCTAGAAGATTTACTAAGTTGCTTGCAGCCAAAACAAAGTGAAAAATATAAAAAAACACAAAAAGAAGAAAAAAATACAGAGAAATAAATCGGAATATAGAGTATCAAATTCACAGTATCACTGCTCCTACCTGCTATCCTTGAGGAAAAGGAAAAAAGATGAAAAAATTGTGACAACTCAGATAATTACCTAAAGATGAGTAGAGTTACTTAGCGGAATTTCTTAAATACAACTCTTATGTAAATGGTACGAGAATTCTATAGACTATGTTATGTAATAATATGAAGGAAGTATATTAGTAGACCACGAGAGAGAACATATAAAGCAACATAGCTGAAATGTGGATGCTCAATGTGGATATTGAAAGGACATATACCTGCCAAAGGTTTAGCACGTGAGGTTGCAACAGCCAGTCCAGGAATCAATGTCTTGTCATCAAATTCAATTCCTAAGAGATCCAAATCTAAACTTGCACCAAAGGCAAACCTCGTCTCTAAAGATGATACCTCTTCCTGAACAGCTGAGAATAGGAAAAATGGTAATTCTACAGCAGAACATGCTGCAAAAAGTGTATTAAACAATCTTTTTTGTTGCATGGTGAGAATTGGACAAGAGAAAGTGGCAAATCTTCAGTAAGGTGCGTTGAAAATTTCGGGTAGTTTGGACAATACCGACAACCTAAATCTCCTAAAGTTCGACATGCAGTTTCAGTAGACATAATGGAGTTTTGGGTTATGGATTAAAGATAATAGATGAAACTGACAAATGGAATGTTGCATAATATTTTTACAGTTTCAAAAAACAGACGCTCTTTAAATAGAGAAAACCTTATATCAGTTCATATAACTAAAACAGCAATATGAATGTACCTGAAAAAGGTAACTGGACGAAAGCCCATTTTTCTCCATACAAGTTCTCTGGAAGCTCCATTGGGAATGGGTTATCTAATGTGAGAAGTGGTTTAGATCCTTTTTGAAAACCAGGGTGTCGCATGTATACAGTTTCATACCGTTCTTGCAGCCAAAGAAGCAAGGATAGACACTGAAACAGAACAAAGAAACCATAAGAAAATTTATGAACAGAAAGCAGAGCATCAGAACTAAGAAAACGCGACCGCCCAATGGCTCAGATAGATACCTTTTTGACTACATATTGCAAAATATCTACTATGTGAAGGTAGGCCGTTTGTGGGACATCCATTATAATGTATAGATGAAGCCATGAAAGGAACTAGAGATAAGGCATATGATGACTGGAAAGTAGAAACAGATATGCATCATAAATGGTTTTGCCAATGATGAATAATGATCTCATCATTCTTTAATGTTTGGCTTTTAAAATTTATTGATGAACATCATGGCCAACGAACTCCAAATACATAAGGCATGTAAGCGGATAGTTTACATGAGCTATGATGGCATTGGTAGCAAGTTTGCTATTCTAGTAGCTGGTGTCATGATATAGAGCGACTAATTATCTGGTATCACACAAAATTAGCTTCTTTTTTTCATCGAGGCAGTGCACTACAGTGTAATCATGCTATATCTCGATGTATCCATCCATATGCGAAAATTAATGACAAGGTAACATCAGTTCAATTCATACTCGCATAGGTGAAAGCCTTACTTTGGGTGTGCATTGTCACAGTTTTATACCATTTCTAGTAACATTTTTTGGGTGCTTCGAATTGAATTCATGGAAGAACGACTTCCAATAACACATAGTAACTGAAATTATTTATAGCAATCAACTTACTGAAAATTTCCGAAGAATACAAACACAAAATTTCAACCGAGTACCTATTTCAGGATTCTAAAATTTCAAAATAATTCTCTTTTTTTTTTCTGACGCACAATATGTAATTCTACTTATTCAACAAAGCAAATGGCTGCAGTTTTTGAAGTTTTAAAATTTAAACAAAACAACACTAGTGCAAAATTCATGTCAGTTTGATCAGAAGTCATTTTCACATAGTAGCCTCGACAGGAAAAATGAAGTTTCACTTTCGCATCAATTCCGAACCAATAAGTTGATAAAAAGAAAAGAAAAATTAACCCCAAAAGAATTAAATGCTTTCAAACAAAGCCATTACTATATGAAACCTGCTTTATACGAATCACTCAAACGACAAGCAGTACGTAATTCTGTGAAACTGAAGGGCTCTACTTGAACTTGAGGGTGCTCACTTACTTCAGTCCATAATCGTTCTGAATTAGGCACATGTGACAGGCTAATGCTCCCACAACCCCAATCATCAGAGACAATATCATAGTGTTATATTTGAGATGGAAAGCTATCAAAAATATTCATGCATAAAATGTTGCCAACCAACCCATCAAACAACAACTAAATTATCAGAGATAGCACATAAATTTATAGACAAGTTTATTAATGGAATTATATTTAATCTATTTGGTATAATGCTTATATCCAAATAGAGTTACCATATGAAGCTAAATTTAACAATCAACAGAAGAGAAAGCGAAAAAGATACTATTATAATGTAATAAATACTCACCCTTTTGCTAGGAATAGGTTTTATTCCAAGCTCTCTGCATGATTTTGAAATGATTGTCTGCATTTGTGACCTATAAACCATATGAAAAAAATTAATCAACTTGATCTATACAATGCAACACCAAAACCAGAAGCAGAAAAACCGCCCAAATAACTGAGTGAACCATGAAAAATTACCAATAAACTAACCTGAAATATCGAATTTTATCCGGTAAAGGGACACCTAATTCATCACAAATTGATAAAATAGCATCCTTTAGAGTGATACTATTGATAACATTGTTAGGAAAATACTTTGTATATTGAAGCGACAACGTATTATCGCAAACTACAAGCTCCCAAATCTTTTTCCCTCTAATATCAAGAATGGGTCTAGAGCAAAAGTCTAGTTCCCAATCCGAAATGCTCTCGGGATCAGTTTCCGGTTCAAGATAGCTCAATTCTGCAGTTGGATCATCTTCTTCGTCGACACTCTCGGCCTCCATTGGCAAGGAAACCGAGCTTTCGGAGACCGAGTTGAATTTCTGGAAATTGAGGGTTTTATTGGGTGATTCTGTGGCGAATTTGAAGGAGTGAAATGAGATTTTGGTGGGTTTTGAGAGGGAGGTGAAGGGGTTTATGGGTTTGTGAGATTGAGCCGTGGAGTGTTTCATTCTGGTGGGGTTGAAACTTATAACAGCCATGGAAGCTCTCTGTGAACTCTGGAGAGTAGATAAGAGAGAGAGAGGGAGAGAGAGAGAGAGGGAAAGATGTGGTAGTTAGGTAGTTTTCCACCGCATATATCCGTTGGTGAAAAGCATGGGCCAGGCTCTTCATAATGGGTTGTGTTGGGCCTTGTGGCAATGCGAGGCCCACATGAGAAAGCAGGCCTGCATGGGCCCAATGGTTCATACCGGTTACTACATAGTATTTATGATTCTGTTTGAAAAAAAAAAAAAAAAAGAGTATTAATTTTTTGAAAATTTAAAAAATTAGTGCCACTCCCAAGTATAATTGAATACTGCAAGCACCTCATAAAAAATATATGGGCTCGTTTGATTGTCATATTAGAAATAGATGGATTGGATAAAGTAATACAATCTAATGCAATACATATGGATAAAAGACAAGATTAAATAAAGTATTAGAATAATACGTAATTTTATCTAGTATTTGACAATACACAATATAAGCAATAAATAGTAGTTATTTAATTTAGTTAGTTGTTTGGTTATGACATTATTTCATTGTATTAATGTTAAATTAATAAAAATATCCTCAATCAGTATTTTTAGTATTTGTTACATTGATGACGACTTGATTTTATCAGTTACGGGGTTATAATAGTAAATGTGTATAATAATACATTTGAAATAGATAATAATACCAGCTTTATTAGTGGTATTAAAATACCTCCATATACAAGTCTATGGTACTAAAAATATACGATAAGTATTTGATTAATAAATATTTTTTAAATTAATAAGAAAACAAATCTATCTACCAAACAAAGTATTAAGCCCGATTACATAAATAATAATACAATACTCACTTTATAATACGTATATCAAACAAGCCCTATATATATATTTAACATATCGATTAATTATTAAAAATCCATTTGAGAAAGAAAAATATACAAATAGATTAATAAACTACGAGAGTGACAATTTGAACACTTTGTGTAACTTTAAAATTTAGCTAAAAATCGCAAACTTGAACAATTTGGATTTTTTGTTGCTTCTGTTTGGACATATTTTAACAGACTACTTGTTTTATCATGTTGCAAGTCTCGTTGTCTCTTTTTGTAAATGTAATTTTGTTGATATTGATAAGTGAACCTTAAGCTTTCCCTCCCACTTACTTGTGTACTCAAAAGTTCATATGATGCATTCAGCGAGATCCCACAATCCTCAACCATATTAACATTTATGCCTTGACCTCCAGAAATATTTTGTTAGAATGATATCATATGCATACATTCAATAAGGTGCGAAGGGTGATTGTGTTTGTCTTTCTATTTCTCCACAACAAAATTTACATTATCTCTCTTAAGAGATATGCACATGTGAACCGAACAACTCGTTCGCGTCTCTGCTCGAGATTTCGTTATTTTCTAATCCCTTTTATCTCGACTTCTCTATTCATCTTTACACCAAACATATTTATATAGATTATTAAATCATCCTTCAAACTTTGGTTGTGATAATTTTTTCGCACACTAAATTCCATAGATCATCTATACTTGTTATAGAATCTATAAGCATCTTCTTCTATGTCAAATTGCATGTCAATACATAGAGTATTATTTGTTATCTCAATCTTAGCACATTTCATCTCCATTATAAATAGGTCCCCTAAAATGCCAAAAAAATACAAAAATATTAATACAATATCAACATCAGATTAAGAACAAAATATAACATTAAACATATTGGCAAGCACAATGTTTAAGATGTCTAATCTACATGACACATATTGAAAAGCTTAAACGAATAGTTTTTTGATAAATGAAATATGAACAAGCATATTTAAAAAATATTTTTGTTTTTCACTTTTATCCTCTAAAATCACAGTTATCTTATTTTTATCCTTCAACATTAAAGCCAAAACAAGCCTAAGCCTCCTCATGTTCCCAAAAAAAAAACTTAGGCCTCCTAATATTCTCTTTCTCTCATGTCGTTTCATCTTTATGTTCTCCCACTCCAAATAAACATTTCTCTCTCTTCTTTACCTCTTCCAAAAACTCTTGATGTCCCATCTTTTTCGTGTCTTTCTTTGTTGCTCTTAGCATGTGTTACTCCACATATTCAATTTTGCATCTCAACGTTTGGTGCATCTCTACTACTTTTGTGGTATTGTTCTTCCACTAATATCTATTATAATTTTATTTTTTTTGGTGAATTCATCCCAGATTTTATGATACCAGCAAAATTGAACTTTCACGAAGAAATCAGGCACAAAATACACCGTGTGTATTAACATCCAAAATAATAGTTAGAATTTGGTTATTGTTAAAAAGTCTAATAAATTACTTGTTTAGAGTAATAACAATAAAAAAGTAGTGTTATAATTATCACGAATATGAATTACAACCAAACATTTTAATGAAGATATTTGTTGGACATTTTAATTAATTGTGGTACATAATTTGAAGAAGGAGACTTAAATAGTTTCCTCAAAGTTACGTATGTGTGCTACTTTTTAATTTGAAGGGGATTTCTCCTTCATCAACCAATTTGCAGCTTGAACTATTGGTCTAGGTCCATCTAAAATTTTCAAGAATTTTAGATCTATGCATCATTATTTATTTGTCATACATATCAATTATTATCCTTGATTGTTTTAATTTGTATAGTGATAATCAATTACTTATATTTGGTTTGACCTCCACTATGCAACTGAGTCATAAGTTTATGGATCTACAATAAAATATAAGTTTTGATATTTGTAAAATGCCCAAATAAAATACAAATTATTATACTAATTTAAAATAGTTCATATGCAATACACATGAGCATTGTATTCTTAGAAATTTTAGTATGATCATTTAACTGTAATTTGATTAAGTTATAATTTTATTATAAAAATAGTAAATAAAAATTATAATAACTCAAAATAATTCACGTGTATACCAACTAGGATATATATTTGAACAATATATTTATGGTAAACAAATCTATAAGATATTAATAAACGAATTTTTTAACAAGTCAACACACTAATGATTACAATTTCGATGTGATAATGGTACATTTTTAAAGCTTAAATATTGATGTTGTACAAATTGATCTCATACAAGATTAATAGTCGAGTATATGAAAAAGTGTAATTAATGAACAATAAATAAGATAACCAATGGCAAAATAGTAAATATGAGCAAACACATAAATTTATAGTGGTTCGGTTCGGATGATTTATTCCACCATCGAAAAATGGTAGCGGTGGCAGGAGGCCTTTATTGATGAATAAAGTAACGGGGAGCGAGCTCCGGGAGGTGTATGCTCCAAGAGAGTTACACCAGTTAGGAGAGAGAAATTATGTGTGTAGGGCGGTGTAAAGAGGCAAAGCTCAATGTATAGAGATGTGTGTTGGAAGAGATGTCTCTCCATGTGGAGAGAACTTATAATATATAAGTTTGGTGAGGCGGTGAGTGATAAGAAATTTCTTATTTGGTAAGTACTATTAAAGTAAGATTGATTTTCATGAATGCATATTCCGATAATCTCTCTCCCACGTGCTCTTATCTTCCCGGACTTCTTGGATTTTGGACTGGATCGGATTGATGAACCGGTCTTGGGGTGCCTTCGTAGTGGATATGAACTTGCTTGGTTTACTGAGTCTAGCCTAGTTAAATTTGGACTCATCAAATATAATCATAAACAATAAGAAATCATTGGAAAAAAAAAAACTTGAACTTACAGATGGAGTGTTAATTTTTAGATGAAGTTTGCAACCAACCCAGATTAAATATTGGATTTTGGGATTTTTAATGATAGTTCAAACAATATGAGGGAAAGTCTATAGCCTTTCAATCTTGAATTCTCCTTAATGCTCCGTTTGGTAGGAAAGATGAAAAGTATGAAAGATGAAAAGTAAAAGGGATATACTTTCTATCCTTCAAGGATGGAAAGTAGGAATGATACATTTTCCTTCTTTTGTATTTAGTTAGATGAATGAAAAATAAAAATAACTATTTTTTAAAATAATTTTTTTTTTATGCTGATTAAGATTAGGAGTGACAATCGAGTCGAGTCGTGTCGTGTTAAATTTATGTTAAGTCATTACGAGTTTGTGTCGAATATTAGTCAAACCTAACTTAACTCATTTAACTAATTATGTCGTGTCGAGTTGCGAGTTGAGCTATTTATTTTCGTATCGAGTTCGAGTCGTGTCATCGTGTTGAGTTTAAAATTTTCATCCTTAATTAAGAAGAAATTTTTTTTTTTTTAATTTAAATTTTTTATTTTTAAAATATATACATATTTTGTCATTGTATTTTTATATGAAATTAATGTATAAATAAAATATATAGACAAATAAGATACATTTCAATACAAATAATTAACTTTCCATCTACTTTCCTTCCGATTTTGGAGGGATTGATTTTATTGAGTTAAAAGGAAAGTTAATCCATCCATTTTTCCATCATTCTTACTTTCCTTCCTTACCAAACATGAAATATTTTTTATCTCTCAAATTTTTTATCGTACCAAAAGCGGTTTTAGGATTGCGGGTAGGAGAGTGTGAAGAAGCAACCCTGAGATTTTATTTTTAGAGAGGAAGATGGAATTTCATCGTCTCCATGAAGTAGAAAATGGTGCCATTTAACCCCTTCTTTTTTATTTTTTAGCAGTCTGCAAAACGATAGCGTTTAGGGGTAATACGTTGTTATCCCACTTAACAGCAGACGAGTCTCACCCAAACTTTGGTAGAGGGAGGTTTAAGTGGCTTATGCTCTGAGCTGGTTCCCTGGCGGCTCCAAACGCTACCAACTGCTCGGTAATATATATTTACCTAAATACAATGTTTTAGCAAGAAGAATTATTTTAATTTTCTTTTTTTTTTAAAAAAAAAATCCACTGCTTTATATATATATAGGAGTCGGTCACTCCCTCTTGGTATTTTCAAGGCTGAAGGGCGCGGAGTTGGAAGCAAAACGTTGTACCGGCGAACACGATCTCCTTCTTAGTGTAAAACCCTTCTCTCTCTCTCTCTCTCTCACACACACACACACACACAGAAAAAAAGAAAAGAAATGTGTATGCATTATATACGATGAATTGCGTGTCTTAATGTTAATTGCTCTTACACAAACCCTTTCTTTAAGTAATCTTTCTTAGCATTATAACGCCAAAAATTCCGTTTGGTTCGAAGGAAATTATTTCCGAGTTACCCATTTTTTCCCTTCGTGGTCACGTTCACCACTTTATTATTATTATTATTATTTTTTCTGTATTTTGCATTCTAACCTTGCGATTAAAGAGTTTCTTTGTTTCTTCAATTCTGTTTATTTTAATGGAAATACTTTCCTGTTGAAACAAAAACAACTTTTGTTGCTTATTTGTGGCCTACCGTTTTTTGCAGGCTCAAGTTTAGTCTAATTTCTCGCTTGAATTATTTACTAGTTACTAGTGACTAGCGATAACTCTCACATAAGCAACAAGGGTAGCTCTAAGTGCGCTCCTCATTGAGAAGATAATGTATGCTTGAGTCTTGATGGTGCAAGGGAAGGATAAGCACCCTTTGAATGAGGAGAAGTAATTTAACAAAGTGTGTATCCTTGGGAAAATTAAAGGATATACACTTTTTAAATGGGGATGCGTGCTGAGGGTTGTGGATGAAACAAAAAGGCTGTGGATGTAGTGTTGCCAAAGGCACAATTTTTTTTTTTTTTTTTTATCACGCTAAGCGATAATGCAAACTAATTTTTTGTGGGTATGTAAATGTCTTTAAACAATAGGGTAATCTGACCGTATAGAGTTGAATTAGGATAATGGTATTCTTGTATGGTGTGGTTGCTATATTGGGTAGTCTTTAGTCTTGCAGCTGTAAACTCATTGAAAAGTTAGATAATTATTTTTTTTTGAAAATTTATAATAACACACCAAATGAAGTAATAGTGATGTAGAGTACAATAGGATTCCAAAAGAGTTTTTGTGAGTTATTTCTAAAACACTATTATTTGATGAAATTCACATGACATGACTTGGACTTAATTGGTGAGTCCAACCTAGTTGTTGGATAATTGTTTGCCCAAAAAAATTCTAACAAAATTGTGATTGTTGAGTTTAGATAATTGGAGGATTGTGATCAATTGGAATTTAGAACCGGTGCTGATGTATAGAGAATTGGAGGATTGTGATCAAACTAATGTTGATATTATGTGAAAAACCAGTCATTGGGTGTTATCTAATATATGATTTACAAACCATATGTTGCCTAAATGCCAAATGTGGCACTATGGTGTTTGTGATATTTGGATCTTGATGCTAGTTGATCCTAGTGCATTTTAATCTTTTGGAACTTATTTGAGGTGAGTTGAGTTTAAAATTTATATGCCGTTCTATGTCCTTGAGTCATTTTTGTACGACAATCGTAGGCATATTATCATTAATTTTTGTTGGTATAGTTTTCTTTTTTCAGTTTGGGTAACTTTATCTGGTAACATGAACTGCTATTGCAGCAAAACCTCACTCTAAAACTCAGGACTCTTGGTTCAGCTTATAAAGGGGAGTGGTAGATTGGATAGGTCTTAGTTTAAATTACTTCGAACTAAAAGTTGAAAATGGAACCTAAAAGTTGAAGCTGATTGCCGAACTCTCTAACATTACTTTACGTATTTCAAAAGACAAGCAGGAAGCGCCACAGGTTTCTTTTAATGCATTGACCATCCATGCATGCAACATGTCATAGCTCTCTACATAGTCTTAACACGTCATGTCCTCTGTGTGTGATATCGTTTGCATCTAAATGATAGGTGTACATAAAAGAGCAAGCTATGGTGTAATAGTTAGAGAGGTTATGAAGTCTGCCACTGCTTGACATACTTGATTGGATTTTTTTACTCCCATAGTCCCATCCACTCTGAAAAATGTTGTAACTGCTGCAGAAGTTTCCTACCTATAACGGGGCTGGGAGACATAAGCTATAGGCAACCTTACTTCCCTTTTGGAGAGGTCTTTTCTCGGACTCAAAGCAACTACTATTCCGTCTATTTTCCTGTCAAACTGTGGTACATTATCATCAAATTTATTTTGTATCTTCAACTGACTGCGGAAACTATACGCCTGCCACCCGAAGCGTCAACCATATACAAATTCCAAGATGGTTGCTGGGCGCTATTTTCCTCCTTGGTTCAGGTGGGTGTCCTTAGAAATTATATTCAGTAATTTCCGAATTAGGAGTGTGTTGTTCTACGACCTGTATTAACTGCCATGCTTGATTTGCAGTGTTGCTCCAATGATGGATTGGACGGATAACCATTTTAGGACGTTGGCTCGACTTATTTCAAAGCATGCATGGCTCTACACAGAAATGATTGCTGCAGAAACAATTGTTTATCAGACGGGAAATTTGGTAAGCTTGTGCAATTTTATGAGGAGAAGGGAGTTTTTTTATGAAGAGTTCCAAGTATGAAAATCTGAGCATGAGGATTATTCAATTGTTTGTTGTATTGCATTCTTTTTTTTTATACTCCGGATTGATTGATGCAGGTCCATTGCAGTATTCTAGTTGCAGAAGTATAATTGTACTATACGCGCAAGGATCAAAATTTCGTTTCTAAACATCTGAAACGTATTTCCGTTTTTAAGGAAACCGAAACGAAATAGTGATGAAATCGAAATTCTAATACTTCGAGGTGTTTCATAATATTTTGAGGTGCTTTGTAATGTTTCAAGGTATTTCAAGATATTTTGGTATATTTTGATCAATATTTTGAAAAAATAATTCTTAAATTATTTATTTATTTTATTCTGTTTCAAAAATATTTCAAATATTTCTAAAATATGTTAAAACATTTTCATTTTCTAAGTGACCAAAACAATGTATCGAAACGAATTTTTGATCCTTATATATGAATACTGTAGCATTATGTGTATTCTTCTGGCATGACATATCATCTTCTAGTATTATTAGGGTCTTCTCATTATTTTTGTCTCTACTACCCAAAAACTGGGTGAGAGATAAAGCAGCTCCATTTGAATGAGATCTAACAACGGTGGGGTCATTAACCTGCTGATTGCTAATCTTATGAACAAAGACAAAATTGAAGTTCTAGAAGGCATCCATGAATCACCAAATTAAACAAATGATAGTTTAGTGGATTGTGATTCTCCACCCATCTATGATTTCTCTACCCTAATGATGGTGATGAGTGGGAGAGTAATTCTGTAGGCTTTCTAGGTAGTACCTCACAAGTGTTTGATGATTTTTGTGAGAGAATAGTTCAACTATTGTTTATTCACCTGCTATGAATAAAGAATGTAAACATTATATGCCATAAGTTTGTAATGAATCAACTCATGGACGCCTGTGTCTAATGATGGAAATTTTTGAAGTTCGAATTGGTTTGGGAAGGTTAAATAGAATGTGAAGCACTTTTCTGAAACAATATGGTTGTTGATGTAGCATATTTCTAAAGAAAGCCCTATAGTTGTATCACGTGGTGGTGTTGTTACATCTTCAACAATATACTATTTCCTTGGCCAAGCTGAAGAGGAACATGTCTCAAGTCCAAGTTTGTAGTGCTGGATATATATGTTATGAATCTTATGATCAGTAATACTTTGGATCCCAAGTGAGATCCCAAATGAATGGGGATCCTCTTATGAGTGGTTTTTGTTAGAAAAAGTTAACGGTGTTAGAGCATCCAACATAAAACTAATTGACAGTGATTGGAGTGACCCCTTAGCCTCAAGTATATAAATCAACCTTACAACCCCTCAACCTCAAGTATATAAAACCAACCTTAATGATCTTAGTTATTTGATGTGGGAAGCAAACTCTCTTAACACCATCTATCACGTAGAACCAAAGCTCGCATGTGGGGTCAACAAACAAACAAGCAATCATGTATACCAAAAAATTCAAATGACTAAGAGAATTAACCCACTAATCAGTGACCATCCAGGTCCCAACTTTGATACCATGTTAGAGCATTCAATGTAGAACCAATTGATAATGGGTGGAGTGACCTCTCAAGTATATAAACCAATCTTGGTGGTCTTAATTATTCGATGTAGAAAACAAACTCTCTTAACATACTCCCTCCCGTGGAACCTGAGTTTGCACGTAGGGTCAACAAACAACCAACCAACCATGCATGTTGGAAAATTCAAATGAGTATGTAACTTGGTCCACTTACCACCCAATGCCCTACTCTAATTCTATGTTAGAGCATCCAATCTAAAACCAATTGACAATGGGTGGAGTGCCTTCTCAAGTAAGTAAATGAACCTTGGTGGTCCTAATTATTTAATGTGGTACAAGTTCTCTTAACAAATAGGACCCACTAGTGTTATTTAAGGTGTAAAGCGAACCGAAGCGACCAAGGCTCCTAACACTTAGGCGAGAAGCGAAAAGCGAGAAGCGAAGCGAAACGCTTTACCGAAGCGAAGCGAACAGTTAAAAAAAAAAGTAAATATTGTAGTTTAATTACTTCTAAAAATCTAAGTTTTGATTTTATATATATTAAATATTTAAATGCAAGTAAAACTATAAACATTTAAATTAAAATAAACATTAATAATATTTCAAATCTTAATATCAGTTATAGTTTAAACATTTAAATTCAAACAAACACTAATAATGTCCCAAATCCTAATATTTAAAATCAGCACTATCAGCATTCAACATTATAGCATTCAACATCAGGATTACAAAAAAACAACAATCATCATTACAGAAAATCAGTACTAATATCAGTAAAATAGCATTACAGAAGCAACAACATACAAACATTAAAGAAGCAGGAAAAAAATAGCACTATCAGAAGCAGAAGCAGCAGAAATAGAAAATAGAAGCGAGAAGAAACAGAAAACAGGAGAGAAGTAGAAACAAAACAGAATCAGAGGCACAAAAAAATTACAGAAGAGAGAAGCAAAAAACAAAAAATAGAAAACAGAAGCAGAAGCAGAAAATAGAAAACAGAAGAAGAACCAGAATCAGAAGCAGAAAAAAAAATTACAGCACTATCAGACATCAGTAGAAGCAGGAAAAAAAAAAGTAGCAGCAGACCATTTGAGAACCAGAAGAGGAGAAGAGAAAAGAAAAAGAGGAGAACTGGAGAAGAAAAAGAAAAATAGGACTAGAAGAGAAGAAGCAGCAGCAGCAGAAGCAAAGAAGAAGAAGAAAATCAGAAGAGAAAAAAAAAGAGGAGAACCAGAGAAGAAGAAGACAAACCCGTCACCAGTGACGAGCAGTAGTCGATCTGAGAGGATGGAGCAGCAGTCGATCGTCTGATCTGATCCTGAGCAAAATTAGGGTTGAGTTTTATATTTATAGGAAAATGGGGTAATTGGATGTATGGGCGTCTTATAATTTTTTTTCCAATTGCCCCAATCCAACGGTCAACAATAAAAATAAAACACAAGCTCACCTTGCATAACTAAGGCGTTCGCTTTTCCTTTGTTTCAGTCACATTCGCTTCGCCTGGGGTGTTCAATGCGAGAAGACCTCGCTTCGTCTTGCTTTTCACCTAGGCGAGCTTTTCAAAACACTGGGACCCACTGATCTGAAAGTCCCTATACACACTCTATTATATTGGGAGGATGAAGAAAGAATGGTTTGAATGGAAAATTGGAAATCCTACTACTTACCCTGGTTGGTCAAATCTGCTAAAAACTTCTTTGGGTGATTGGAATGATGTTGGAGGCCCATGAACATGTTCAGTTGAGCAGAATCCATTTGAAGTGTGTTTCAGACCTTTAATTGGTCTAAAGTTGATATCTTACCAACTTTTTGCAGGTTGAACAATAATTTTTATATTTGTATATATTTTCTTAATTTGCTTCTTCCTCGGGAATTGTTACAAGTATATGTCTCGTTATTTGTTACCTGCTTTTAACAAATTGGTTTTCTTTTTATTGATAGTTTGGTCTCTAGGGACCTCTGACTTTATATTATTTTATTGGGTTTGATCAGGACAGATTCTTAGGATATACTCCAGAGCAACACCCTATAGTGCTTCAAATTGGGGGAAGTAATCTGGATAATCTGGCAAAAGCAATACAACTTTCAAATGCTTATGGCTATGATGAGATTAATTTCAAGTTCGTTCTGCAGTTAAAATGTTTTCTTTCATTTCCTTCTCCTTTTTCAATAGTGAACTGAGGAATTTGTTCATCTGCCAGTTGTGGATGCCCTAGCCCAAAGGTAGCTGGACGTGGCTGTTTTGGTGCGCGCCTTATGCTTGATCCAAAGGTTTGAACATCTGTGATTGTTTACATTGTAACTAAACCACTCTTGGCAGTAGTTTGTTTGTGAATTTTCTCTGATACAGGCTTATGTTTGTACAAGAGAAGTTTGTTGCTGAGGCTATGTCAGTGATTGCTGCCAACACAGATGTTCCTGTCAGTGTTAAATGCCGAATTGGTGTTGATAACCGTGATTCGTATAATGAGCTCTGTGAGTTCTTTATTGACTTCTTCACTGTGTTTAAGGCAGCGATGCTAATTTCTTTTTACTAAAGAACTTCTTATATTCCTTGAGAAATTTACATGATACAGATTGTGGATTAAACACTTAAAACTTTTTCTGTTGCTTATTCTGTATTGCTTAACATGATATATTCCATATTTTATGTTTACTTTCTGCTAATCATAGAAAACATGCGGGCTCATGCAGTGTAGCATTCTAATTTTATTCTTCCAAAGTGCATGATAGCAGGAATCCATTTCTCTAAGAAGTCGTAGAATTCAGAAGCTATAGCCACTAATGGCGTGAGAATTGATCAATGTGCAATAAATACCATGTTTTCAGGGATTTGCCCCCATATTTTGATATCTCACTGTGAATTTTTGCATATAGAGAGTGACGTAAAAAATTGAACTGACGGCGTTCCATGGGATATTGGAAGTGATTTGTCAAACTAGAGTGGTTCCAATGCTGTATGAATAAAAGTGCAACTTTGTAGATTGCTAGTGAGTCAGTGTAGCTTTTGTATTGTTTGAGAGAAATTTACGAGTAGTTTTTGCTACAAAAAGGAAAAGCAGAGCCCACAATATGCAAAATATTAGATCCCCAAATAGCAAAAGCTAAACGGAGAAATTTAGATGGCCTTAAATTCCTAACCAGCCTCGTTGATGTATAAGCAGTCTTATGAGGGAAGATCTACGCTTTCATGGAGTCTAACTTCTTTTAGAACGAGAAGGGCGCCATGTTTGACTCTGTTAGTAGCTATGAAGCACGGATACGAATATGGGGATACGGGTACGATACGATATGGATATGGCGATACGACAAAGTCTAAAAAAATAGGATACGGGTGCAGCCAAGATACGACTATAATAAAATTATTTAATATTTTTATTATTTTTAACCAACTTAATACTTATATATTTTGGTAGTTCTTTAACATATAATAAGAAAAATTAGTAATTCTTTTTAGTTTTAAGAAAATATAGATCGTGTCGCTGTATTATATTCACAAAGTGAAGTGACTAATTAAAGGAATCAAAACTAATATTTACCTAGTATTTAGAAGTAATTTTTGCTAAGATTATAATGTAATAGTTTTATTTTATACTTTTTTGACATGTAATTGTAGATAATACTTAAAAAAACATTCATGTGCCTTTGAAGTAATATGAATTTTTTGTTAATGTATTGTATGGTGTGTGAATTCGAAAAGAGACGTTAAAAGTTCAACTAAAAAATTATATATGTTGCTTGACTACAAAAGTATCCTAATATTTAATTATATTATCGGATACGTAAAAGGTGTATCTGATATGTATCTTCGATTATCCGACGAGTATCGTATCTGATATGGTATCCGATACGGGTACGTCAACCACAACGAAGTATCCGTGCTTCATAGGTTAGCAGTATAAATTCCAAAAGGTTCAGTAATTGTTAAGTTCTTGTGATGGCTCTGATGTCTTGATATACTTCCAAACAGGATGATCCTGATTCAGAACCTATCAATTTGATCTTCATTAGAAAATCTGGATTTCATAATGGATGTCTTGAAGATGTCTTAATGGGGAGTGAAAAAACCCTTATCGATTCACGGAGAATAATAAAATGGCTCCTTTCAAAACTTGATAAGCTACAATCTAAACAGATAAGGGAATGTAGAATTTTCTCTGGTAGCAGCATGAAACATATGCCTTCATAGAAATCTATTATTTCTTTCCTTGTATTTCGATCTTTTCTCACCTTTTTTGGTGGCTATATTTTTTCTTTCAATACATATGTTCCCAAAGAACTTGGAGCAAATTTTGCATTCCTGTTGCATCAAAATTCTTTCCTTTTGTTCCACAGTTGATTGATGCAATATGGTACGGATGCACATTTGACTGCATTTGTATAAGAGGGTTTCACCAAAAGAATGGCAGTTTACTTGTCTAGTTCGCTCAAAGGTTCTTGTGACTCCTTCAAGATATGTTCCCATGCTGCATATGGAGTGTTAAAATCATGTGGGGGCCGTTGTTTTGTGCGATGGTAAATTGTTTGAGCATGCGTGACAATATGGGTTCATGCATGAGGGCAGTTACCTTGCTCAAACTAAGCCAGAGGTTGGGTTCTATATCCAGTAACCCCTTCCAGCATCCTGTATAAGTGAGACCAAAATGACACAATGATTGTTTCTTTAGTCCAAATAATTGAACGTACCACGTTTAACATGCCAATTTTGTAGAAACTGCACTTTTCCTTGGTTAAAAGATGAAGAACTGATCATGTTGATGAAGTGGTCGTGTCCTTGAGTTCTTGGATTCAAGGAGCAGATAAGTCTGACTCTTGGACACACACCGACTCTTTGAAATGTTTACCCAGGCCTGTGTGACATTGCTTCGTTTGTGCAGAAAGTGTTGAATAGATCACGCTGTTATAGATTGACCCTATGCAATACATTCCCATGATGTTGTGCTACTTTAGCTGAGACCTTCGAAATGCCAGCTGATGCAGAACTTTATTGCTTAACTACAATTGTGTTGGGTGCTGAATCTGACTGATTTATTCTCGGAGTTACATGCAAAAGTTGCTGGGATTTGTCTTGATTTCTATTTTTCTTTCCTCTTTATCTTTGCAGGCGATTTCATTTATAAGGTTTCTTCTCAGTCCCCTACTAGGCATTTCATTATACACTCCAGAAAGGCATTGCTGAAGGGACTTAGCCCAGCCGACAATCGAAAAATTCCTCCCTTGAAGTATGTTTAGTTTGTAATTTGTTTGTTTATTAAGCATGTGCCTATTTTAACTGGAAGTACTGATAATATACTATTCAGTAATGTATTCAAGCTATCTCATTAGTTTTTATGGTATCTATTCAATGCTATTGCTATAAAAAGTATTGAAGAAAGATTAAGTACGCATGTTTTTAATCATAGAGAATCGGTTCGTGTTCTCGCCATGTGCAACTGACAATTTTTTTTTGTAGATATGAGTACTACTTTGCCCTCTTGCGTGACTTCCCCAAGTTAAGGTTTACGATTAATGGAGGCATAAATACCGTTGATGAAGTAAGAAACAATTTGGTCTGGCGCACTTGATGAGCCTTGTGACTTAGCCCAGTATTCTGCAATGGTGTGCTTATTGATGTTAAAAAGTAGTTGTTAATGTTTGTGCAGCTAATGTATTTTGCAATGCAAAGTTTTATAATGGTTTTGCTACATATCTGCCCATATGAATCCGTTTTTCAAACTCGATGTTACCAGATTGGTTTGGCTTATTGACCAACTTCTTGTTTGTTGTTTAATAGCTTCAAAATTTTCTTCTACAATTTGGTGGAGTGAGGCAATTTTACTTTCCTTTTTTTATGTTTTATTCCTTCCTTTACTAATCCATCTTCTTTTATTTTTCCCCTTATTTGTTTCTCTAATGGTGGATGGAGATTTTTTTTGTTTTTTGGTTGTGTGTGGATATTTTGAAAAAAAAAAAAGGGGGGGGGGTTAGTTTGTTGCTGGCCCATCTTTGAAAATACTGCTAAAACAATCTGCCTGATGTATTGGCATGGTTTATTTGATTTACTGAAAAAAAATTCTCCTTGTGACTAGTGATGCCAAATAGCTTATACTCTTCCCTGACCAGGGTCAGAATTCATTCATTTTGGGTATTATGCACATGATGTGAACGTTAAATCAATATACTGTTCGGTGCTGTATTTTTAGACACATGATAATTCAAGGTGTGCTATCCACACACGATTCATTAATTCTTCTTTTTGTTACTTGGTGATTCTATATTCTGTTGCATAGTTGATAATTACAACATGAGAGTGATTCATGTATCTACATCTGACTTACCTTTCTAATATGGGAACATGAAATATCGAACCACAAGCAATAACCCCTTGTCTGAAAATACTATACAATACAAAAAATCGAACACTGATTTGCAGTATTTAGTTTTAAATTGTAATTTTTAGTTTCTTTAATTACGCAATTTAAAATTAAAATAAAGAGAGCGATAGGTGTGGATTGATGGGACTTTTTGACAATGAAGAGTGTGTTAATTGAGTTGTTTGTCATTGGGGGTCGTGCTGAGAAGTTAATATTTTTTGAGTGAGAATTTTTTTTTTGGGTGAATTATATACCATTTGATCAAATTAGATGAAGATTGAATCAATCTTGATCGTTGTGGTGCTTTATAAGTTGAGAATTCAACTTACTAGTTATAATATTAGATGAATTTAAGAAAATAAACTTTTACCCCTTCACAATCCCAAGATCTTGAAGAAACTTAGGCCTTACAAAAGGCCTACTAATGTGCATCATAGTCTATTGTTATCTTCCTCCTCTTCTATGGAACTGGAACTCAGGGCTTACTCAGATGCTAACTGAGTTGGTGATTGTATGGATGGCAAGTCCACTATTAGTTTTTGTATTTTTTTTGGTGATTCTCTTATATTTTGGAAAAACAAGAAGTAAATTGTTGTTGCTCGTTCTTCCGCTAAGTTGAGTACCGTCCTATGTCATCTATCACAGTGAGATAGTTGGTTACGATGGTTACTTGCTGATCTTGATATCACTTTATTTGCTCCTACCCCAATGTATTGTGACAATACCAGTGTTATTCAGATTGCTCACAACTCAGTCTTCTATGAGCGTACCAAGCATATTGAGATTGACTCCATTTTGTGTGCCATGATTCTTTTACTATACAGTTAGCGAATTGCTTTACGAAATCTCACACAATAGCGCATTTTTGTTTTCTATTTGACAAACTCTTGATGTTCTCTGTTACCACATCATGAGTTTGAAGGAGAGTATTAGAGTATTTTAGCATATTAGTATTAGAGATTATTTAGTCATTTACTGTATTTTGTGTTGTTATACTATATAAGGTTCTCTGTTCTTATTTTATGTTAAGTTGTAACAAACTAATTGAGTTGTAATAATTTTGTCGTTTTCGTTCTTCTCTTTCTTGCTCCTTTTTTTGTTATGTAATCAAAGTTAACAACCATTACCAGTTCTACACACACTATGAAGCGACCTTAATATATATTTTGTCTTAGGATTGTTTAAAATAGCCTGTAGTCATGATTCCATTCTAGTTGTTGCAAATCGATTTTTTGAGACGACACATTTCATTCCTTGCATCAAGTCTACAGATGCCTCACATGTGGCAAAGTTATTCTTTAGAGAGGTCGTCCAACTAAATGTGCAGTCTATATTCATTGTGTCAGATGAGGATGTCAAGTTTATGGAAGACACTTTGAAAGTTCTTTGGGAGTCTTAAGTTTTCCTCTGCCTTTCATCCCCGGACTGATGGACAAATTGAAGTTATAAATTGTAGGTTGAGAGATTTGCTTAGGTGTCTAGTAGGTGAGAAAACAGAAAATTGGAATTTGTTGTTGTCCATTGCTGAATTTGCCTATTACAACTTCATAAATTGGTCGACTGGTAAATCCTCTTTTGATATTGTTTATAGCCATTCCCTTAGACAACCTATTGACTTAATGCCTTTACCTCCTAATTCCCGCCCTTTAGAATCCACCAAGGCTTTTGCCCAACACATCTATAACCTACATGCAGACATAAGACATAAAATTACATTAATTAATGAGAATTATAAATTATCTGCAATGTTCACAGTTGGAATAAGGAATTTAGTGTGGGAGATTATGTCATGGTTCGTATATGTCCTCAACGCTACCCTAAAAATTCCTTCAAAAAGTTGCATGCTTGAGCCACTGGCTCTTTTCGTGTTCTTTGTAAGCTTGGACCTAATGCATATCATTTTGACTTACCTTCGAATATGAGTATTAGTCCTATTTTCAATATGGATGATTTATTCTTTTCTTGTGGTACTTTTGAGCCTTCCGTGTTGCCAGCAAGTGTTCCTATATGTGGAGGAGTCGCTTATTCATTAACATCACCTACAGTTCCGGTTCTTTTGCCATTTTCACCAGAGATGCATGACCAGATTGCATATGTACTTGAAGATTAAATTGTTAGCTCATTTGATGGAGGGTATCGTCGTTATTTTATTTGGAGACATCGTCGTGATACTTGTTCTTCGTGTATACTGAGGATGAGTTTCATCAGCTTGATCCTGTTCTTCTAGAGCATTATCATTATTGTATCTCTCTGGAGGTGAGTTCTTTTCAGTTGAGGAGCAATGATGAGAATCAGATTGTCTTTCATTATAGTTGACATAGACGTAGGGATTAAGAATTAGTTGTCATTTTATTTTTTGGGGCTTATTTGTCATTTTGACTATTTATTTGTTTTAGAGTTTGTATTCCATATATATATATATATAGGATGTGATATTTGTTTGGTAACACTTTGATTATTATTGAACATTGATATTATTTGCTCCCCAAGTTCCCTTTATTTTTCTTCTAATTTTTTCATTCCCTTCTTCTTTTCTCCAAATCCCTAATTCTTCCCCAAGAGTGGTTAAATTTCTGATTACCTGTATATTCTAACCCTACTGATTGGCTATCGCAAAAATTGGGTAGGTCAACTAAAGGATTTTTGGCATTCTGCAAAAATCGGATAAGAATGTGGAATACTCATAAAAATTTTGTATTCTTAATTGACCCTACCTGCAACATTTTAAAATATATATATATAAATATATACATGCGTGTGTGTGTGCGCAAAAACCAGAAAACCTAAAATCTTTTGGAGCAGTTATATGTGCTTGATATGGTTTAGACCTTAAAAAAATTGTTATTGTATTTTGTACAATACTCAACTTCCTACCCGATTGTTTTGGACGGAATTTGGGTAGGAATAGTAAGCTTGATCGGATAGGGTTGATCAGGAAAAAATTCTTCCGCAAAGTATCTGGTAGGAAGATGGAATATCAGAATTCCTATCTGTAGGGTAGGATGAACACCCTTATTCTTTCTCTTCTTAATCTACATTAAATTGGTATCAGAGCCTAATTTCATTCATAATCACACGTTTCATTGCATTATCACCGTTCACTGTTTATCAACCACGCTACCACTGTTCATCATTATCCATTACAAACTTCAACATCAAACCTAGATTTCATCAACTCAGCCGACTGTCTTCGAAAACTACCATCCAAAGCCATCAAAAAATTAATGTTCATTGGCAAATAATTTGATGTAGACGAAGGGAAAGAATTAGGGGATAAGAAGAGAAGAAGGGGATGAGAAAGTCAGAAAAAAGAGAAGGGTGCTTGGGGAGCTAGTAATATCAATATTCAATAATAATTAAAGTGTTCCTAAACAAATACTATATCCCTTACATACAAATGGAATAAATAGTCAAAATGACAAATAAGTCAAAAAAAGTAAAATGACAAATAACTCCTAATCCCTATGTCTGTGTCTACTATAACGAAAGACAATCTAATTCCCATCATTCACTCAACTGTGTAATGGGAGTTTCTTAATGTATATGATAACAAAAAAAACGAAAGAGAGAAGAGGAGAAACACAGAAGTAATAAGGTCAGAGAGGGAAGGTGCATCAAATTCCGAGACACTTTTTTAGGATTAGAATAAGGAGAGGGAGATAAAAAGAGGGAATGGAAAAAGAGAAAGAAAAAAGGAATGGAAAAAGACAGAGATAAACAAAAGAAATGCAGGAGGGAGGATCCGAAAGTTTCTGCCTAGAACATATGAGCCTTCTTGGTAGCCTTTCATTCAAAGAGGAAGATGAGGAGAAAAAGAGAGAAGAGAAAATGGGAGGGAGGGAGCAGAAACAGGCCTTTCAATTATGGAAGGAACCACGACATCGGTTTAAGCAGCATTTAAATGCTGAGTTGTTTTTGGAAGACCAAAATGTTTAATTACAACTCAGTAATCTTACATGCTGAAGTAGACCACATTTTCCAGCCAACTTGCTATATGATTCGAACAAGGGTATTGTTTCTGTAACAATCTTAAGCTCAACCATTCCTTCAAAGGACCTAGGAATAAGTCTGATGACTGAGATCCATAAACGGAATTTTAACATATGTAGTGAGAGCATCTTTCATCTTTTGTAAATTTTAGGAGTAGATTACTAGTCTGCACTGTTATGTATGCTGAGTTTTCATTTTTGTGTTTACTTTCAACCTTTCAT